AAGTAATTTAAGTGACTTTCATTCACATGATGATGTTGCAGAGTGTTGTGTCTGGTACAAAGAGAGGACAGTACAGTCGTTTGAGATGGGCCCAGGTGAAGTTGTACTTTCTCCTGTCTCATATTTGCTTGCCATATAATTTGCTCAAAGCAGAGGAAAACACATGAGGAAAACATAAACACAAGCACATGACAGTGAAATACGGAAATAAAAACAATAACAACAAAAACAAAACCAGCTAAGAAACCAGCTGACATAACATCAATTACAGTAACAGTGATAATAAGAATGAATGTGGAATAAGCAGATAATGTGTAACAGAACAGGGCAGTGGCACAGGGAGGGTGGGATCTCCTCCTCTCTGTATCAGACCCATGATGATCTGTGTCTGATCCAGCCACCTCACTACCCAGCATTCCCTTCACCTTACATAAACCTGCTAAACCCTACAGAGACTAACTGAACCCAAACCAAGGTTCATTTCTCCAAATCAATGATCATATGTCAGTCATAATATAGACTCTGTTTTCTCTACATGCATTTGGAATGGGAAACATCCCTGTATATATGTGAGGTTTTCTATTCAGACCCAGGAGTTAGCTTTACCTATCTTCCAGCATTACTACTGCTCTGCTAACATTCACTGCATTTTATTGTGTAAAAGCTTTCCCTCACAGCACACAGGACCTTCATGGGTGACTATGGAGGCCAGATCATGCTGCTCACCCCGCCTGTCTGGGCTTATATGTGTCTCATTGGCCCTCACCAATCCCTAAAGCTGTAAGAATCCTGTGGTGAAGCAGTCACTCACAATATGGGTTCTTTTCAGGATGCACTTTGGGCTTCAGTCCTCCTCTCTGCTCTACTCTACTGCTGAAAAGCATTGTTTTGCTTCCCTTTTCCATGAGTCTGCATTCAATGATTGGCACAGAAAGGGATTTAAACTATTTGAAAAGAGTGTTTGAGAAAATTGACTGATAGTTTATTTTTCTGTTTCAATTAACTTTTAAGAGTAATATCTCAAGCTCCCATTTCTTCAGGTTGTTTCAGAAGCCCCTCAAAGTGCGTCCCAGAGATGAAGGTAATAAGTCGGCAGCATGACAATGTCTCACTGCACCTCAGCACCCCCTTGTGGCCAGTTGTGTTTCCCACAGTCTGCTTGTTGAAGCTGCACATGAAGAGTCCTCCTCTGACTCTATCTCTGTGAGCACAACTGGGGGACTGCAGAGTGAAAAGAAGCAGCAGCTGACATGACATGTTTCAGAGAAGCGCTCATGCTTTTCTGTGCTCTCTGGAGTTAACCCTTACATACTGTTCGGGTCAAATTTGACCCGTTTTGACATTTGACAGCAGTAAAAATACCCTAAACGTCATTTTTTTGTCCTGTAATTTGATGACTTTTCCTAAAGTGACCCAAAATACACAAAAATAAAAAATATTTTAAAATTGTATTCTTTTTTACAGGTGCTACAAATTTTTGTACATTGGGGCTGTTCCGGGTCAAATTTGACCCGTACTTAGTGAGATGGATTTTAGATCCACCAGTGTGGGTCAAATCAAGGAAAATGGTGGTTTTAGGGAATGTTGAAACTGTGAAACTGTACATGCCATGTCTGTCTGTATTTTTATGGGACAGTAGTGACAAAGTTGATGGGAACCTTGGCACTGTCACGAGAACTATCTGTGCTCCACCACATTTGCTGAGGTTCCCGCAGAGACAGTCATGGGGAATCTCAAAACATTGAAATAGTAGAACAGCAGAGTAGTGGTCATATATGGTGCACATAAGGAACAGAAGTCATACAGAGGTCAGAGGGTGCCTTGACACAGACAAGAGATCTGCACCTGCAAGCACAAGCACCTGCAATGTAACAACAATGTAACAATCTAAAAAAAAACAATCAAAATAGGGGTTGGAGGGGCATAGGATTATAAAGGAACCTGAGCTGCCATTTCAGTGACTGAGGTTATGGCAGCAACAGTTACTGTGCAGGAAGCCATAGATCTGATCTTCCAAGATGAGGAAGCAGACAGTGATTTGGAGATGGATGTGTCAGAGCAGGAAGACAACATGGAGGAAAACTCTGATTACAGCCCCTCTAATGAAGATGACTCTGAGGGAGAGGAGCAAGCAGCAAGGGAGACATTTATGTCGAAAAACAGTGCTATCAGTTGGACCTCACTTCCACATCAAGTTGCAGGCAGGATGGCTGCAGAAAATGTCATTCGAATGACTCCAGGACCCACAAGATTGGCTTCTTCCCATGCACCCAACATTTTGTCAACATTCCAGCTCTTCCTCCAACCATTGAAAAAATTGTAATTGAAATGATAAACAGGGAGGGGACTAAACAGTATGGTAAAGAATGGAAGATCATGAATGTGGCTGACCTATGCCTACATGGGGCTTCTGGTAAAGGCAGCGCAGTGATCTGAGCCTGGCCCTGATCAACGTCACACAAGAAGCCAACACAAGGGGACAGAAGAGAAGAAGATGCAACTTCTGCTCTGCAAAAAAGGACTGCAAAACAGGGACAAACTGCTGCAAATGTGGGAAACGTGTGCAAGTCCCACACACACAAGGTTTCCTACTACTGCTTTGAATGCACAGAATTGCAGTGAGGACAGTGTTCAATGATTATAATGGTTATATATGGTTGTATTATAAATCCAAACAATTTTAGGATGTTCTTGCAATTTTCACTTTCAGTTAAATATATTTAGATCATTATGACTGTTATGTTTTCATGTCTTAGGTAAAATAGGACATGATATTGTGTGATAATAGATGTTTTTTTGCAAAAACGAATGTTGTAAAACCTAAACATTACACTCTCCCTGCTCCCTGAAACATAAATTAAGGATTAATCAGCCATGTACTAATGTGAGATAGGCCATTTATACATTCTAAACAGATCTGTAGTTCAAAAGTCGTTACAGACACTTTTTATGAGGGAATTTTTGACCCGGGTCAAAATTGACCCGAACCATACTATGAAGGCATCAAATATGAACAGTATGTAAGGGTTAAGAGAGAAGGTAAAAGTGATTATCTGGGCTTACAGATATAACTGGGTATTATGGGCTGGGGAAAAGTGGGGGCACATTGCTTCACTGTATTAGATTACAGAGTGTGAGAGAGTTATAACTGAAACACTGAAGCTCAGTGTGCTGGAGCAGAACCCCTCAGTGTCCCGGGTCAGTGCCTCCCCCCTCAGCACCTGCAGTAGGTCCCAGCTGCAGCAGTGCAGTCTCTGTGCAGTCTGACTGAGGGAGGTTTTTGTACGGCTCTCTATCACTGTGTGAACACCAAGCTACTGCTGATCCATTGTTCACTCTGACAGTAGTAATCCCCTGCATCTTCAGCCTGGACTCCACTGATGGTCAGAGTGAAGTCAGTCCCAGATCCACTGCCACTGAATCGATCAGGAATCCCTGAGTTACGTGATGTTGCCCAATAGATCAGGAGTTTAGGAGCTTCTCCAGGTTTCTGCTGATACCAGGCTAGGAGTTGATGACCACTCCAGACATGAACTGCAGGGCTGGTTCTACAGCTCAGGGTGACAGTGTCTCCTGTGAGAGCAGATTTACCAGCAGGAGTCTGAGTCACAGTCACCTGTCCTGTAGACTCTAAGGAAAAGAAAAAAAAACAGTACACACTCATAGCCATACTTGAATAAGTGTATTTTTATGCATGTAATTAAAATACTAAAATAGTAAATTTTGAACAAATAAATGGTATATTCACATAATACATATCTGATTGTTTCATAAATCGCACCCTGAATGCAGAAAGCGAGTGCCCAGATGAAGATGGTGATAAAAGTCATTGTTGCTGTGGGTTCTGTTGCCATGAAGGACAGCTCTCAGTCATCAAGTGTTAAACTCACAGGACTATAAACACTCCCAGAGCACTGAAGCATGTGCTGCCAATGCAAAGTGTCTTCTCTATGCAAATGGTCTTCCTGGGTACAGCAGGCACTTGTAGCCCAGCAGTGCTGTGGAGGCAGACTAGGGCTTATGGGCTGTGACACAGACAGAGCAGTTTAACGTCTCCAGAGACACACCAGGGTCAAAGTCCCAGTGCCCCATCAATGGGTCAGCACATACACATGACTAACTCTGTGCTGCCAAATGCTGCTGTTCCCATTCAAAGTGTTCCAGAAACCATCATTTTCTTTAATTACAAAAGTTTTTAAATTACATCTTTAAACCTCTCACTCAAAACTTCCAAACTAAAAAAGATGACCACCTCTTCCCATTGAACCACCAGTGGGTCATCCAGACAGACGGTGGTTCCACATGTTCGTGTTTCCATTAAAGAGTTCCAGATTCTGTCTAACAGAGTTAAAGCTTTTAATGTCAGAGAATGAAAACTATATCTATTTGAATTAAGATGTGTGCACATATCCCTTTCATCTCTCTTATCACTGACATATGAATTGGCAATATGACACGGTTTATAAATGAGGTCCCAGGACTTGTGCTTCTGTGAAAGTCAGCCCTCTAGTGCTGTTGCTAGTGCATTGCTTCCAATGAGTAGCTTATTTAGCTTTGCGGAATCAGGTGTTTGGCAGCTTTATCCAAGCAATGCCTTAAATTAAGCACTAAAAATTCCAACAATGCAGCACAGACACTGGGCATGAACTGGGCACTCATACAAAAATATTTTTTCACACCTTTGATGGGTGTGAACGGGCTGAGGGATTGGCAGCGGATGGGCGTTTCTCCCCATGCTATTTGACCCCCATGCCCACACCAGCCGCAAAACACAGCATCTGCCCGTTTTCACCACTGACTTCATCCCCTTGTCCCGGACCTGAGCTTCTTCAAGAGAATTCAGTGCTGAGACGCAAACTCCAAACGACTGTTCAGGAGCTGGAGTTGAAAGGCCTTTTCCGCTGGTCTGGTGGAACAACGGTCGGTACATGATTGAGGGGTCATGTGATGGCCAAGAGCCTCACCAAAGTTCTACAATAAGGAAGGAGAGAAAGTTCTGCCGTCCCTGGGTGGGCTCGAACCACTGACCTTTCAGGTAACAGCCAAACGCACTAGACCAATTGCACCACAGAGATTACGTTGCACCCCTTCTTCCAGCCTGCATTTAACAGAGTAACATATTGGGAGGGCCCTCAGCATGAAGAGAGTAGAAAGGGTTAAGTGCATGTAATATAAATGAATTGTTTTGCTAAAGATGACCCTGTGCAAACTTATGTGTGCATCTGGTGGAAAAGTACTGGGGCAACGAGAAGAGATTGTGCAGAGAGCAAGATGTATTGCAAAACCGTACCACGGTTATCTTGAGGAGAAGAACAGCTGTTCAAAATTCAAGATTTCTTTATTGTCATTTTTCTTGCACTTATGTACAATCAAGAATGAAATACCGTTCCTCCTAGGGCAACAGTGTACATAAATTAAAATAGAGAATTAAAAGAGCGTTTATAAAAAGATTTGTATAAAATATAAAACAATACAATAAGCAATAAACATATAAAAACACGTTGCTATACACAATACACACAATACATACACACAATACAACCCAATACATATGGTGCACCGAAGAAAAAAAGAAAATTAGCAGTATATCTGGAGGGGAATAGCAGCATATACTGTACATTACCTTTATCTATACAAAAAGTGCATTGTGCAGTGTGAAAATTGCACTAGTGGAGAGAAGTGTCTGGCACTATGGGGAGTTAATGGTTTAGTGGTGGAGGGGGGTGCAAGAATGTTTATGATCCTCACAGCCTGGCGTATGAAGCTGTTTAGAAACCTGCTGGTCCTGGTACTGTTGGGCCTTCTTGACGATGGCCATGGTGATGGTGGTCGAGGTCAGGTCGTTCGCCATGTACGCTCCCAGGAAATTGATGCTACCGACCCTCTCCACAATCGTGCCATCTACGGTCAGCAGGGGTGGTGGTCCGTACGGACCTTCCTGAAGTCGATGACCATCTCCTTGGTCTTGTCGACATTCAGGGGGAGGTTGTGTCTGTTGCGCCACGCTGTCCGCTGCTCTTCCTCCATCCTGTATGCTGACTCATCACCTTTGCTGATGAGACCCACAACTGTCGTGTCATCAGTGAACTTGATGATGTGGTTGTTGCTGAATCTGGCAGTACAGTCGTGGGTCAGCAGGGTGAACAGCAGGGGGCTCAGGACACAGCCCTGGGGTGAGCCTGTGCTCACTGAGGTGGTACCTGATGTGTGGCTGCAGACTCTGACTGTCTGCTGCCTTTGTGTCAGGAAGTCCAGGATCCAGTTACAGGTGGCAGTATCCACATCCAGCTTCTCCATCAGTTGCTGTGGTATGATGGTATTGATAAATACATAAATCTTTCAAAGAGCAATCTGTAATCGGTTTATTGACCCACTGAAGCTCAGTGTGCTGGAGCAGAACCCCTCAGTGTCCCGGGTCAGTGCCTCCCCCCTCAGCACCTGCAGTAGGTCCCAGCTGCAGCAGTGCAGTCTCTGTGCAGTCTGACTGAGGGAGGTTTTTGTACGGCTCTCTATCACTGTGTGAACACCCAGCTACTGCTGATCCAGTGTTGACTCTGACAGTAGTAATCTCCTGCATCTTCAGCCTGGACTCCACTGATGGTCAGAGTGAAGTCAGTCCCAGATCCACTGCCACTGAATCGATCAGGAATCCCAGAGATACGCTGATTTACAAACTTTATCAGGAGTTTAGGAGCTTCTCCAGGCTTCTGGTTATACCAGGCCATTCTTTCACCATGACTGTCTTTATACACAGCGGTGCTGGTTCTACAGCTCAGGATGACAGTGTCTCCTATGAGAGCAGATTTACCAGCAGGAGTCTGAGTCACAGTCACCTGTCCTGTGCACTCTGAAGGAAATAATAAACAACATATAACTGTATTATCTATACATGGGAAATATTATAATATAGGGTGATACATTTAGTTATTTCAAATATGTATTACATTTAAATTAAAACAAGCAATCAATACAGAATATACTTCAGTAATTTTATAAATCTCACCCTGAATGCAGAAAGCGAGTGCCCAGATGAAGATGGTAATAAAAGTCATTGTTGCTGTGGGTTCTGTTGCCATGAAGGACAACTCTCAGTCATCAAGTGTTAAACTCACAGGACTATAAACACTCCCAGAGCACTGAAGCATGTGCTGCCAATGCAAAGTGTCTTCTCTATGCAAATGGTCTTCCTGGGTACAGCAGGAACTTGTAGCCCAGCAGTGCTGTGGACTGGAGACTGTGGGCTCACTGACCAGCATGTGGTGCTTGTGCCAAGCCGGTTTTATAAATGAGGTCCCAGGACTTGTGCTTCTGTGGCGTCAGCCCTCTAGTGCTGTTGCACCAGTACATTGCTTCCAATGGTATTTAGCTTATTTAACTGCGGAATCATTTAGCAACTTTATCAAAGCAATACCTTAAATTAAGCACCTAAAAAATTCAACAATGCAGCACAGACACACAGGCATGAACACAGGCACTCATACACAAAAATATTTTTCACACCTTTATTAAATTGTGAAACGGAGGCTGGTGTGGATAGGGCGTTTCCTCCCCATGCTATTTGACCCCCATGCCCACACCAGCATAAACACAGCATCTGCCGTTTTCTGCCCACTGGCTTCCATCCCCTTGTCCCCGGACACAGGCTTCTTCAAAGAATTCAGTGCTGGGAACGCAAACTCCCAAACGACTGTTCAGGAGGCTGGAGTTGAAGGCCTTTTCCGCTGGTCTGGTGGAACGGCCAGTGGTACATGATTGAGGGTCATGTGATGGCCAGAGCCTCACCCAAGTTTACCACAATAAGGAAGGAGAGAAAGTTCTGCCGTCCTGGGTGGAGGCTCGAACCACTGACCTTTCAGGTAACAATATTAAACACTAGACCAATTTACCTAGAGATACGTTGCGCGCCCCTTCTTCAGCCTGCATTTAACAAGGAAGTAACATATTGGGAGGGCCCTCGGCATGGAAGAGAAGTAGAAGGGTTGAGGAGTGTAATATAAGTAAGATTGTTTAAAGATGACCTATTGCAAACATGTGTGCATCTGGTGGGAAAGTACAGGGCGAGAAGAGATTGTGCAAAGGAAGCAAGATGTATTGCAAAAACACATTGCAGTTTATCTTGAGAGAAGAACAGCTGTTCAAGATTCAGATTTCTTTGTGTCATTTTCTTGCATATGCAATCAGAATGAAATACCACCACCGTTCCTCCTGGGCAACTTAATTAGCCATAAATTAAAATAGAAGAGAGAGAATTAAAAGAAGGCGTTTGTAAAAGAATTTTGTATAAAATATAAAACAATACAATAAGCAATAAACATATAAAAACACGTTACTATACACAATACACACACAATACATACACACAATACAACTGTCCCTTACTGGTGCACAGAAAAAAAAGAAGAAAATTAGCAAAGGCATATCTGGAGAATGGCAGCATATACTGTACATGCAACTTTATCTATACAAAAGTGCATTGTGCAGTGTAAAAGAAATTGCACTAGTGGAGGAAGTGTCTGGCACACTATGAGGTTAATGGTTTAGTGGTGGAGGAGGTGCAAGAGATATTTATGATCCTCACAGCCTGGCGTATGAAGCTGTTTAGAAACCACCTGCACAGGTCCTGAGTACTGTTAGGCCCTTCTTGACGTAGTCCAAAAGCGGTGGCTGGTCGAGGTCAGGTGGGTCATACATGTGCGGCTCCCCAGGAATTGATGCCTACCGACCACCTCTGCAATCGTGCCATCTACGGTCAGCAGGGTGGTGGTCGTGCGGACCTTCCACAAGTCGATGACCATCTCCTACGCGAAGTGCTATCGACATTCAGGGGAATTTGTCTATTCAACCGCGCTTCATCGCTGCTCTTCACTCCATCACTGTATGTGACTCATCACCTTTGCTTTGATTGAGACCCCAACTGTCGTGTCATCAGAAATTGAAGCGATGATGTGGTTATTGCTGAATCCTGGCGGTACAGTCGTGAGTCCTTGGGAGTGAACGCAGGGCTCAAGGACACAGCCCTGGGGGTGAAGCCTGGTAACCACTGGGGTGGCCACCTGATGTGTGGCTGCAGACTCACGACTGTCTGCTGCCTTTTTGTGTCAGGAAGTCAGGTCCAGTTACAGAGTGGCAGTATCCACATCCAGCTTCTCCATCAGTTGCTGTTGGTATGATGGTATTGATAATCTATAAATCTTTCAAAGAGCAATCTGTAATCGGTTTATTGACCCTGAAGCTCGAGAGAGAAGGTGTGCTGGAGCAAGAACCCTCAGTGTCACGGGTCAGTGCCTCCCCCTCCAGCACCTGCAATGGGTCCCAGCTGCGGCAATTGCAGTCTCTGTGCCAGTCTGGCCCAGGGGGAGGTTTTTATGCGGCTCTCTGTCACTGTGTGGTTTCAGCTACTGCTGATCCAGTGTTGACTCTGACAGTAGTAATCTCCTGCATCTTCAGCCTGGACTCCACTGATGGTCAGAGTGAAGTCAGTCCCAGACCACTGCCACTGAATCGATCAGGAATCCCAGAGATACGCTGATTTACAAACTTTATCAGGAGTTTAGGAGCTTCTCAGGCTTCTGGTTATACCAGAGCCATTCTTTCACCATGACTGTCTTTATACACAGCGGTGCTGGTTCTACAGCTCAGGGTGACAGTGTCTCCTGTG